CATACACACACATAGACACACACACAGAAACACGCACAGAAACACACATACATACACAGACTAAGAGACACAAACAGATATACTCACACAGACAAACACAAACACACGCACACACGCTTACACACACACACACACACACACACACACACACACACACACACACACACACACACACACACACACACACATTGAAGTATTTTCATTTGGCACACAAAATAAGCGATAGGTTTGCCCTTGGGAATTTTTCAAACAACCCAAAATTTAAGAACCTCTTTTTGTGATTCAGACCAAGGCGATCGCCATCAATCCGACGTGGTGGGCTATCGTGGTCTAGAGGTTACGGTGTTCGCCTCTTATTCAATAGATCCTGGGTTTCAAAAAGTGACAGCGACTGAAAATTTGCTTCACTAAAATATTCTCCGTTTACCTAATTTCCTGCTCTATTATAAATATGAACTGTCGTCTGCTTTCGTCTCCACTTTCTTCCCCTGTTCTCTCAACCTGCTTGAAAACAAGCCACAACATTAAAGGCAAAAGCGTGAAGGCAATATAATGTGACCTTCCACTTTACATTTAACAGCTAACGTGTCGCACCTCTTCGCTTACTGCTGGAGTCCAAAATGTTGAAAATACCTATCTAGGCTCAGTTTTGACCTTGAGACAGTTTGACTGCTGTTTTCTCATTGTGCGTACCGATTCCTATTCAAATGATGCTATCTGGTGAGTGAAACGAGGCCAGCTTAATTAATTTGTTACCTGCTTCCATAATTGGTTTAATTCAGTAGGTGATGGTAGTTTAAGTTAGTATTTTTTAATGTAGACTGGTAGCTTCTTCAAGCACATAATCAACAAACGTGTGCTTGGTTTTCTCAAAACATTCATTTGTTAACATCAATAACTACACAATGCCATTTCACCCATTGTTTCATACATAATAAAAGAAATATCCTTTTGTCAGCTGATGACCTTAAACTGCTGATTGAACTTAAATCGCTCCAGTGGCTATTTTTCTTCTGATGAAATTATGAAGTTTAAACCCAAAATCAATTGATTTCTTATGCTTCTGACGTTCTTTTGGGAAAAAAAAAACGAGCTAGATCTATCGATTATAGTGTGCAAAGCTAAAAGGTTCTAACACTTAAAAAGAATTGTTCTTCCTTTGATTCTAATATTCAAATTGAATACTTTCTCGCTAAATTCTATAGGCTACAGTGTCCAAAAATTTACACAGAGTTCAAACAATTTTGACAATTAATTTTTTTAACGGTTCTTTTTTGGCTCAGTATTCAACTTTAAAATATTGTCATGAGATTCTTTTTCAAATAGATATGAACGCGATTTTTTATCACGTCATCTTTGAACGATATTGATTATGAAAATATGATATGAAGAACCTAGTCTTGTAAACAGATAGTATAGTATTGCTAGTAGTTTGGACCCCTACATAAAAGTTCTCTTTGTGAACCAGATGATCTTTGTGCTTTCTTTCTCAGGATCAACGGAACGCCACATCGTTAAGAAATTGATCGGGGAGGATGAGAGAGGAATCACGGCACTGTTAGAAGTTAATACAGCACAAGAAGAACTCTAATCTTTGGACGCCTGCACCGATATCTCCCATCAAATGGTACGAAAAATAAGGTAAAGGAAGATGAAGGCACTTCATTACCAGAGAAAAAAAAAATGTAGATATAATTTCTTTGTGTATAGATTTCGTCAAGGAATCCGGAAAAACTCTAGTACACTATATAGTGTAATGCACTTTTACACACGATTAATCCAACAATCCAACAACTGAACTAAGGCTCATTTAAGACAGTCGTATGCCTAAGAGCTATGTTTGTGCATCGTGTCTTGTAGACCACGAATCCTCCTCCTATTTAAAGTAATTTAAAAAAATTATTATATTGCGATTTTTCTACTTCCCTGATGGAATTTGCAACTCTCCCTAGAAAACAAACTAACGAACAAAAACACAATAACCAACAATAAATAACCCAAACAAAATCCATAAAACAAAACAACAAACAACACCAAATGAAACCAAACCAAAATCAAAGAGAACGACAACAAAAAACCCAACAAGTTATTATAGTTTTGAATGACACCCAGCGGCGTAACGGTGTCATTCTTCACCACATGAACTGTCTGTTTTTCTGTCTGTCTGTCTGTCTGTCTGTCTGTCTGTCTGTCTGTCTGTCTGTCTGTCTGTCCGTTCCCTGTTCGCCTCTCTTGTCTGTGTTCTATCCCTGTGCGTATTTGTTGGTCTTATGCAGGTTTATTTCAATGATTTTGTCTTTCACCCTTACTCACCATTTTTCCCTTACTCTCTCTCATTCTTTCTTCCTCTCCTAAACCCATCGTACTATCCCCGCTCCCCCCCCCCTATCCTGCATCCCCGGGCCTCCATTTCCTCTTCGCCCTCACTACTCAGTCTGACAATGTTGCTCATCAGTACTCATGTGAGCGCACAACGACACTTGATAGCCACTTATCAGTGCTCAGCCTCTCGCACACACAACTGGAGTCATGGCCCTTGTAAATGTTGCTATTTTCACAGAGCATCCGCAAGACAAACTTGTTCAAGAGCAGCCGTATAAGGAGAAAGAAAAATACTAGCGGGGTCGTCGGTGTCTTCGAAGGTTGCTTTGTGTTTTGAAGGCCAGGCAGGCTCTTGCTTGTGACCAACTGTAAAATCAACATACTTTGTTTTGTGGAGAAATGGATTCACTTAGCCGTTCTTTCTTTGAGAGGAAACATTGTGTTTTGCTTCAAGAAATGAGAGTCTGTTTCACGTGAGTCAGTGTTTTACATACACATATTTATTCTTGTTTTTATGATATTCAAGTCAATAGTACTAAGCAGTTAAAGGGGCGCAGTTCATGACACTGCGTTCTTTAGTTTTGGGTTTTAGTAAGGTTTTACAGCGCTTGCAACTGCATAAAGTCATATGAGCGCCAAGGGGTGAATGTCAACAGAGAAGTCCAAACGGGGAATCAGGCTTTCTCTGCTCACCTCTCTTGCCTCAACAGTACAAGGTCTGCTTCGACTATCAAGGCACCCCAGGAATTTCAGTTCACAAGAGAGTAACAAACATACATAAGAAGTAGAATCTAGAGAAAAAATTATGATAGTAAGGATGAGGAAACAAAACGCAGCAGTTCCCCGTATGTTGTTAATGTTGTTCCAGCACATTATAAGCATGCCATAGATAATTCAGCCCATTTACAATTCTACTGTGAATAAGAACAGGCTAATATACCCTTTTGGGAATGGCCTAAAGACAACTTCAGTCAGTGGGGGAACACTGCGTTCGACAGATACAAAATCTGTTGATGAGAATCTTATTGCCCAATACATGTATTAAGCAATGGAATGTACCCTTAATGATAATGATAATACGTGTACTGAACAGGTCATGACTCCTTTCAATAAATCCGCACACCATAAGAGCTGATTGGATTTTTTTCTAACAGAATTTAAGAAAAGAACACAACACAAATTATGATCACTGTAAAAGTTTGTTTCAGCTTTGCATTTTAGGTAGTATGATAAACTGAACACATACAACACAAGCAACAACAACACCAACAACAATGGCGGCAGCAACAGCAGCAGCAACAGCAGCAGCAATAACAGTAACAACAACAATAATAACAACAGCAACAAAAGCAATAACGGCAACAACAACACAACAGCAGCTATACGACCACAGTAACTGAATAACAGCAGCAGCAACAACACCAGTAAAACAGCAATAAACATTATTATCGTTATCCCCCTATAGATTAAAACTAATTTTTGGTAAAAATAAAGAGAACCATCTTTATTCGCAATAACATTGAGCACAGGTGGTACATAAACATATCGGGTGGATTAGAGCTATATCAGAAAAAAAGCAAAACGAGCGGGATGTCTATTGAATTCAACTCCATACCATCCGTTATACGTGAAGTATGGTCATGTGAGGTATTAGCCGTGAGGCTCTGTGAATTTATCTCCTGAATCAACTATGCTTCCCAACCGTGTGTAAGCTTTTGTGACATCCGGGATGTGTAGGCCTCTCTATTGGCTTTTATTTGCCGTCGTTTATCACATATTAACAAGTTGCCTGAACATGCCCATGTCATGTCCCATGATTGAATGTGTGTGCACGGAGTCCTAGCTTACACAGCTATCTAATTTGTGAACCCCAAGGGTTGAACAATCCGAACTTCAATGTTTTGATACGGGCACGGCACTGGTATGTAATCTTTTTCATGACAAGGTAATATTATGTTTTTCCCATAACGCCACTCCAGCTTGCATTTTAATAAAATCATGAGTCCCAATCCCCTTCTCAACTACACGTTTATTTCTTATTCTCTTCGAGGGCTCTTACGAAATGAAGCACAGTTATTTTGTCTGTTAATTAAAATTTTCCGAATTCTGTGACTATAATTTTTGTCTTCGAAATCTCAACATTCTGACTTGCTGTACGACACACACACACACACACACACACACACACACACACACACACACACACACACACACACACATACACACAGACAGGTATGTTTTATACAACGTCTGTGTCTTAGAGAGTGTTTCCTATTTATAAGTGAGTGATATCTTCGTTCGGCTATATGGAATAATGTGTGTGCGTGTGTCGTACACCTCAGTGTGAGGTAAAGGCCGCGAGGAAAGTACAATTATAGAGTCTGGTCCGCCTTCCTTCCGTACGTCTCTTTATCTGCCTCAATAAATTTAATTCATAATGGTTGTCTGTTTTGTTTCGCACTCTGTATTCACCAAATTGTTAACATCACGCGTGTAAGGACCAGTATAAAAATGAAGAAAAAGTGGAATAGTAAATGTGTAGGTTAAGCATCTTTAATAAAAAAATCCCCGAAAAAGTTTTATCGTCTCAGCTCTCAATTTGTGCGTTCGCCTCGCTTCACTGAACTTTAGTATCTGGCGTTCGCGTCCGCAATGCTCTCTGTGTGATGGCGCTGTGGCGCGCTTGAATCATAACGAACGCCCCCCTTCCCAAGACCGTTGTTTTTCTGTTGATGCTGACAACAGATCTGCCGTCCTCCGCCCTCGTCCGCCAGTTCCCACAGCGGTGCGGAGCGGGGCGGGGCGGGTCTTGCGCTCTGGGCGACGCGTTCCTGTTTTCAAACTGGCTTTCAAAGCTCGACGACCTTAGTGGGAACAAATCCTTTAGCCTTTCTCCCTGTGTTTAAATGTAATTTCCTTCCCTTTCATTCTCCCAGTCAAGCTTCCTGCCTTCGGTTTTTGGCGGGATTATCATTCATTGTGTTCTCTGGATAAAGGGATTAACGGTTTGAAATCTCCACCAGGTAAGGGTCAGGATTGTGTGTATGCTTTTCAGTCGTTTTTCGTTATAATATTTGATAAATCTAAGAGTGCGGAGCTTTGAATATATTTTGTAAAAAATACAATGTATAGACATTCTTAAATCAAAGCAATAGTTTCATATTTCCGAAAGGGAGAGTTTTTACTTAATGGTTGACCAATGGTTTATTCCACGTTGATCATCAGAACTTGGGAACACTATTAGCTTGACTCACAGATGCAGGGCGCGGCTTCGGTCTCATTGGAGGGTGTAGGTGAGGAGGAAGGAAGGAGATGGGGGAGGGGGAGGGAGAGAAGAGGAGATGTATCATTGTTTGTTAACCTTGTTTACTTCCGTTGCCACCCCCCCGCCCCCTCTAAGTGCCCATTTCATTATTAGAGACTGACGTTGTTAAGAAGTCCCACCTTTAAAACAATGTTATTTGTACGTAAATGCTGCTAACAAATTCAAACCTACGTCTTGCGACAACCCCCATTCGTACGTATTCCCATTATATAGCTGTAGTCTGAGACTCGAATCAATTATACAATTCCCCCGACAATGAATAAAAAAGATACGATCCTGCTATCAATGCTGTAATTCAATCTCTTTGTGTCAGCTGTGTGAAGATGTTGAGAGAGGTGGTTATTTTTACACATGTGTGTCTCAGATAAACACGGCTCCATGTCCGTGAAACAGGACCCAAAGCTGTTGGATTGAATAGACTCTTCATTCTTCTCAAATGTTTTTTTGTCGGTTTATGGGCAATGGAGTCTTTGCTTAAAGGCAGATACGTATGTGTTAGCCAAAGCTCCTCTATTAATGTTGAGGTCAGCCTGTAATGCCAATGAAATTGAAAACAAGCAAACAACAACAACAACAAAACCCACAACCATAACACGGAGACTTGTATATTGTGGCTAATATTTCTGCCGCTATGTCATAAAACACGCACACACACACACACACACACACACACACACACACACACACACACACACACACAT